AGTGTCTGCCTCCTGGTGGTTAGTGCACATCATAGCGACCAGTCGGACAGTTGAGGGACACTTAACATATTAACCTTTTATATATATAGATTTATTCCTTAACTTATCTTACTATTTAACAAAAATAGTGACTTAATCGATTTTGCATTAGCAGAGGCTGAAGACTATTAACTAATATAGCTAAAACTTCTCGATTTTCCTGTCAAACATGTTAAAACAAGTGATCATTGTAGCCAATGACATATTTCTTACCTGGATCACATGTAGGTTACTGCACTCCATCAGCCACATTGAGCCTGAAGGTGGTAATAGTCCCAGGGAGCACATGGGAAAATACACGGGAAAGAGGAAGTGTTGGAGTATCATAAAGCCAGGCAGAGACCTAAGTACTGAACTCCACAGGCATCACCCCAGAGACTAAATGACCCAAACCCCAATGCCTAGGATCCCAGCAGATCCCTTGACTGGGCGTAGACTGTTTTTTATCCATGGTTGCATTGGGGTGAAGCTGCAGACCACAATGACAAGTCCTGCCAACTCAGAGCCTAGGCCTGGCAGGAAACTGCCCAGGTGCTGGTGGTCACTCCTCAGTCATCCTGTTCCCCCCACCTGCACCAGGTGACCCCGGTACAGTTTCTGCACATGATTCATACCTCTGAGCTCCTTAACCCCTCCAATCAAAAGTTTGAGGATATAAGGAATCATCAAAGCTCTGTATAAGCAACTAAAGTAGGATGCTGAGCAAAATAACATGTAGGAAATAATAGTAATAAACAAATGTAACTTGGAATGTAAAAATTGGAGCAAAATTGCCATGGCCAGTGTGGCTCCATGGTTAGAGAATTGTAGACACGTTTTCAGTATATGCATCTTCGAAAAGGGATAATAAACTGCATTTAAAAAAATAATAGTGCCTAAATTATGTTATCAACTCTAAAAATTATTAGCATGTATGCCACATCCAGAATTCTCTACCATTGCTCATTATCAAGAAAATATGATTTTAAAGAATTTCCCACTCATATTAAGGAGATTTATAATTGGTATTAAGACAAATTACTCTCTGTTACTCTAAACACAAAACACCATTGTTTTCATAGCGCTATGGACATGATCACTGGCAGCTTTCCCATTTCTCATTCTAGCAAGACCTTGTCTAAATATGAAGTTGTGATAGTCTCTACTATCATAGTGAATAAACTTACAGGAAACTAAATATGTAGTTTATACTCATTTACTCTTCAAAGTATTTTCATATGTTCAGTTTGACTTTCAAGATATTCAGTTGCTTATGAGTACCTTCTGAAATGTTTCATTAGAGAAAAAAAAAATCTCTGAAAAAGAACTGGGAAAGTGGGTGTTGGAAGCATATGGGACTAACCGTGTTAACAGTACAATTAGAATTTTGCATTTCTGGGCTTGCATTTGGTACTAAAGACCTGGGCATGTAACTAAAAACGGTTTCACCTCCAATATAGAACAGAATAAATTTAGACTTGTAATTACCATATATGCCCACAAGGTGGACCTCTTGATGTTTGGTGTTTTTCCTTATTCACTTCTATTATCCAAAAATTACATAATTGCAAAGTACCTTTAAAACTTTTTATAAAAAGTCATGATCTACCTTTTCCCCTATCAGATTGGCTTAAAACTTAATGGATGCTTCTAGAAGTGATTTGTCTTTCACAAAATTACCCATTATATTTTCTTAAAACTTAAAAAAAAATCCCTAAGAGCTTCTTTAATGTTTTAATATTCATTGTTATTTTAATAGCTAATTATATCTTACTAGAGGCCCAGTGCATAAAATTCGTGCGGGGGGGTGGGGGGAGGAGTGTGTGTGTCCTTCAGCCCAGCCTGCACCCTCTCCAATATGGGACCCCTTGAGGGATGTCGGACTGCCCATTTAGGATCTAGCCTAAACGGGCAGTTGGACATCCCTCTCACAATCCAGGACTGCTGGCTCCCAACTGCTTGTCTGTCTGCCTTCCTGATTGCCCCTAACTGCTTCGGCCTGCTAGCCTGATCACCCCGTAACCACTCCTCTGTCAGCCTGATTGATGCCTAACTTCTCCCTTACCAGCCTATTTGCCCCTAACTGCCCTCCCCTGCATGCCTGGTCACCCCTAATTGCCCTCCCCTGAAGGCCTGGTTCCCCCCAACTGCTCTCCCTTGCAGGCCTGGGTTCCTCCCTACTGCCTTTCCCTGTAGGCTTGGTCACCCCCACTTCCCTCCTCTGCTGGCTTGGCCACCCCTAACTGCCCTCCAATGCAGGCCTGTTCCCTCCCAACTACCCTCCTCTGCTGGCCATCTTGTGCCCACATGGGGGTAGCCATCTTGTGTGTTGGAGTGATGGTCAACCTGCATATTACTCTTTTACTAGATAGGATAGAGGCCTGGTATATGGGTTGGGGCTGGCTGGTTTGCCCTGAAGGATGTCCTGGATCAGGGTGGGGGTTCCCTTGGGGCATGGGGTGGTCTGGGTGAGGGGCTTGTCACGCCCCCTTGCAACCCAAGCAGAGGCCCTGGTATCTAGAATTTATTTATCTTCTACAACTGAAACTTTGTAGCCTAAAGCGGAATCTGTGTGTGGAAAGCTTGGCTTCCTCCTACCTTTACAGCTCCGTGACTGCCGCCATTTCTCATTAGATTTATGTATCTTCTATAATTAAAACTTTGTAGCCTTGAGTGGATGCTTAGGCCGGCAAGGGCAGGCGGAAAGCTTGGCTTCCTCCATTGCCGGGGAAACCCAAACCTCCCTCCTGCTCTCTGTGGCTGTAGCCATCTTGGTTGGATTTATTTGCATATTTGCTCCTGATTGGCTGGTGGGTGTGGCTTGTGGGTATAGTGGAGTGATGGTTAATTTGCATATTACTCTTTTATTGGATAGGATTTTGTGAAAATGAACAAATGAGTTGTAAAGTGGATGCACAGAAACCTTGTTAATAACTACTAGTAATGAAGAATTCTGACCACTCAGATATGGTGTCTATTACCGAAGAGAAGGCAGAATCTCAGAGGGAGGGAGGCAAGAAGAGATTAACCAAGGAACTTATATACATATATGCATAACTCATGGATACAGGCAGTGACTGAAGGCTTGGGGAGGGCAGGAGCAGGGAATGTTGGCGAGGGTGTGGAGAAAAGTGAACCCTTTGGGAATGCAACCTGGTGCCACCACTGGAGATTCCTCAAAAAGTTAAAAATGGAACTGCCTTATGATCCAGGGATTCTATTTCTGGGCGTGAATCCGAAGAAACACAAACCACTAATTTGAAGGAATATATGCACCCTAATGCACCCCGACGTTCACTGCAGCATTATTTACAAGCAGCCCAAGTGCATCAGCAGACGAGTGGACAAAACAGCTAAACACAACGAATACTCCTCGGTCATAAAAAAAGACATCTTATCTTTTGCAACAGCATGGGTTGACCTGGAGGGTATTATGTTAAGTGAACTAAGCCAGTCAGAGAAAGACAAACACCATATGATTTCACTTGTATGTGGAATCTAAAGAACAAAATAAAATAATAAAATAGAAACAGACTCATAGACACAGAGAACAGAGGGGAGGAGGTTTGAGGGCTGGGCAAAAGGGTGACGGAATTGAGCAGTACCAATTGGTAGTTGCATAATAGCCACAGAGATGCAGATTGCAGCATGGAGAATGCAGTCAATAATGTTCAGACAATGGGGTACAGGGCCAGGGGAGTGCTAGGGGCAGGAGGGGGCCTCTGTAGAGTGTGTGGTTTTCTGGCCACTTCATGGTCCATCTGAATCTGGTGAGGTTGAAAAATAAAAAATTACAGCCATGTTGTCAGACACAGATGATGCCCCTACAGAGAAGGCAAGTGCGCTGAAGAGGGCAGGCCGCGTGTGGCGTGGCTCCCCCAGCTCCCAAAGGCCTCGCATCCCGGAGGGAGGAGGGAAGGAAGCAGGGAGGACTCACTTCCTGAGGACACTGTTCAGCATGTAAAGTCCCTCCAGGGACCATGCATCCGCCTCAGGCTCCCCCTTGTGCCAGGATTACTTTTCCCGTGTGCCGGGTAATCTCCGCTCCTCTTAGAACAGCTTTTACTACTTTTCCTGTGAATTTAAAAATAGCCTTAAGAAGGCAGGCTTTTTTTTTTTTAGGAGGACAAGTTTTTCATCTTGGTAGAATTTTTCAGCAAATCAGTACTTATTTCTAGGTTTGTTACTCAGTGATACATAAATTTCAATTAATCTGAAAGAAAAAACAAAAACCAACAGTTTGATTTTCCAAAGCACAAACCACAGGCCCTAACAGTTTATAAAACAAAATATAAAAATTGGAATTCTCTGTTATGTGTTTGGATTCTGATGGCTTGGAAATAAAACTTGCCTTGTTTCTTAGACTACTGTTCAGATAAAACTCGTATTCCTACCCCAAGAAAATGTAGAGCCCAGGTGAATTTCCCGCAATGAGTAGTCATTTAATTAAAGAACAAAATTAACAGGAATCAAAATGTTGCAGCTGTATTTCCGTTAGACATTATATAAAAAAGGAGAAATATAATACAGGAAATGGTTTTGTATAACACGAACTTAGAGAGTTCTCAACTCAATCATGATCGGAATAAAAATATCTTTTCAACAGAACACAGAACGACACCGTGTCACACACCCTCAGGCCCAAGGTCCGGAGTGCTGAGCCCGCACCTGTGAGTCTCTGCCCCCGTCCACCGCAGAACTGAGAGCAAGGCTCCACGGCAGCTGACGGTTTTCTTCTGCAGTTACTCCGGGTCGCTGAGGCCCCCACGGCTCACTCCTGGGACACCAGAGCGAAACGTGTCCGTGTCCCTGTCCGTGTCCGTGTCTGTGTCTGTGTCCGGAGAGCAGCGAGGGTGACCTCCCCGGCCTGCTCGCTCCTCCGACACAGCGGGAAGTCTGGAGTTGAATTCAGGAGAGCCCCCTGATGAGTATCCAGTGTTGGTATCAAAAGTTAAACACAGATTCTTCTCAGAAGAAAATCTCTACGGCCTGTGGAATCTAGAAATTATATTAAAAAGCACAATCATTTCAGGTCATACATACATTTCAGGCCATAAGTTGAAATGGCCAAAACTTCCCACAAAGAAATTTTTTGCTATTTAAAGTGTCTCTTTAGTCCAACCTGGAAAACCTGTTTTGGTTTAAGTGCATGTAGCACCTCAGTGGCCCCCAGAACCCTCAGCCTCCCTCGTACCCACAAAGGATTGATATCCCGACGTCTGAAGACTACCTTACACCTACTGGAAAGTGGCTCGCTAAGTCCCGGATGTACTCAGAAAGGCCAGGATTGCGAATCAGAAGTAACGGGCGGAGGAGGCCAGGTGCTGGGCATTACAGTGAGTTACAGTTTTGCCTGCTTTTACAGCTGGTGATGTGTTTGTGCTTTAATGCACTTAAAACAATCTCATAGGACTAAAAATATTGTTCAGACTTTTACATGTGGACTGTAAATCCTAAACTGCAGCAGTATAAAAATCTTAGAATTATTTCCTGATGTCCAAGTTTTGGACTCACTCTCAAAATCTCATCATCTAAGACAGCTGTCAAGAACTTAGGAGAGAAAAAAACATCTTAGTCATTTCTTTTAATAAGTACGATGGGAAAATGTAGTAAATATTTTACATTACCATACAGAAAACATCCTTTAACACAGACTGAGCGCTAAAAATAATTTTGAACGGTGACTGGAGACTTTCTTTCCTAAACATTTTTGATTTCTGAAAACAAGATGATCCATTCCTTCCTAAATATACATCAGTCCTGGGGGAAACGTCAAAAAAATTAACAGACTTTCTACGTCCTCATTTTCTCCTGCCCTCGCCACCTCCTCTTCTCCCCTCAATATCTTCATCATAAAGTGGCTGGTCGGACAGGATCGCACGGCACCGGCCTCAGTTCCACAGCTACGCTGGCCTTACAGGGCAAACCTGCCACATGACAGCGCTGTGGCCACTCTGTGACAGACAGGGTGTGTGTGTGTGTGTGTGTGTGTGTGTGTGTGTGTGTGTGAAGGGTGGGAGGTATGGACCAATTGTTCTAGTTTAAGGCAGGCTTTCCTTCCTCCTCGCATCCAGGGCTTGAGCATCTTTAGACCAAGAGAGAGAGGACAAACCACAAACCATCTGCTGGAAGGGGAGGCTTACTGCTGAGGGATGAAGGCCTGAGAACTTCGAAGGGGGACTGCATGTGGCAGCCACGGAACAGAAGAGAACATGCGGCCCACAGGCAGAGAAGCCGATCTCTGCTCTCTGCCAACGAGAGACCCGCCATCTCAGTGGACCACGTGGACAGAGCAGAGATGCACCTCGCTGGGCGGTCCCCGTTCTGGAAGAACCGGCCAGTGTGTTCCCACTGGGATGCACATTCTGTGGGATGGGCATCCTGCACCGCCCACCTCAATGGGGCTGGCACACAGTAGATACTCAAATATCTGCAGGGGAAGTAGGTGCCCTCTGAGCAGATAGGGATCGTGAGTTTGGGTGAAGATGTGACCATCAGTGTGAATGAGACGGAGAAGGGAACGGGCGGGTGAGGGTGCTCCCCGGGATAACTAGGAGTTCTGTGAGCTGGAGGGCCAGGCACACCACGAGGGTAAGCAAATACATAGCAAACTGCTTTCACTGCCTTGAGAGTAACTCTCTACGTGTACATTAACGAGTAGGTTAGCCAGTGGCCTTGCAGGCCTGTCCTCACAGCCTCTCCCTTCGCAGCCCGGGGAGGCCCGGGAGCCAGCTCCCTCCTTCCGCGTGGGCGAGTGTTCTGACTGTTCCGTCCACCTCCCGCAGGTACTGCCTGTTCACCTGAACACAGAGTGCTTTCTTTGTGCCACTTCTCTTTTTTCATGAATACCATGTTACACAGTATGAACTTCACACAAATAGAAATCTGACCTTGTCAAATGCTTGCTCGATGCGTGTACCTCCATCTCGTTACTCTTGTATTCATTGAGTTCTTTACGAATCGCTGCCTGGAACGAAAAGCAGCACATTGGTTCACAGGGCAGTTTGCTAACACAGGAACGTGTGTCGTGGCTGTGGAGAAACCACCACGGCTAACAGTGCTGCCTTCTGGTAACGTGTCCCTAAGCAGAAAGGAAGAAACACCTTCTTGCTCAGACTTGGACTCTCACTCATCTTCCTGGTCCTACCGAGCCAGTGCGGCCGGACTGACTGAGAAGGGGGCAGGAGCTCAGGGGCTGCACTGGCTGGCTTGGAGGTGGGGGTGAGAGGAAGGGAGCTCACACCCGCCAGGGCACAGGGCACGGACGCAGCAGGAACCCGTTTGTGGTGCGCCAAGCACAGCTCCGGGAAACTTAGGAAGGAGTCACTCTAAGTCAGCGTGCATTGGTGTCTGGTGTCATTTGAAATGGGACACGATCATTGCCCGTGGGTGACACTGCCTCTCGCCTGTCCTCCAACACCCAAGGCCCACCCTCCCCGTCCCGGGCCGGTTGACCCAGGAGCAGCAGGCACACCCGCCTCTGGGTGAGGACCGGCTCTGAGGGGAGGACTCCAGGGGGGGCTGCTCCCACCTCCAGTGGCTGTCAGACGCTTTTCCCGCCCCTTCCGGCCCCTGTGAGCTGGTGGACCCGGGCAGCCACGCATCGGTCCGCGTGTCTGCATTTCTCCAAATTGTGCAAACCCACTGGCATTCCCGCTCAGCACAGACAGGGGGAGGGACTGTTCACAACCCCGCAGGCTCCCTGGCTGCAGGTGCCCTTCCCAACCTCTTCCCGAGGCTGCAGAAGTCAGAGGCAGGGGCGCAGCGGGCAGCGGGCAGAGGGCAGGCACTGCCATCTGACTCCAGCCAGGCCCCGGCGCTGACCACTCCAGCCAGGCCCCGGCGCTGACCACGGCCAGCGCTTCCTGAGCTCTGTTCCCGAGCTCTGCTCAGGGCTGGTAGCGCTGCCTCTGTCAGGGCTCTCCTGAGGACTAACGGGGTAGCTGACAGGGGTTCCATGCGGGCGGAGTCAGGGCACGGTGGAGGCTCACTCACCTCACAGCCCCGGGACCTCCTTCTTCCTCCTGCCTCTCTGGCTGTGGCTCAGAGGGACCGACCAGGATGGACTCAGAGCCCCCTGTCCCTCTAGGAAAGCTCTCCTCCATGCCTCCTGGGCCTCTCACACCCCTGCCCCTCCCCTTTCCCCTCCTGCAGCTGGCTTTCTGTAAGCCTGTCACCCAGCCCTGCCTCCCTCTGATTCATCCCCAGCCTGGGTCTCTGCGCGCACACTCTTGACACTGGGGGCTGAAGGAGCCTCTGCTGTGGGCGGTCCTGGAGTCCAGTGCACAGGACAGCCCTCAGCAGAGACTCCTCCCACTAGACACAGTAGCGCCCCCCACTGGTGACCCTAAAAATATCTCCAAACATTGCCAAATGTCCCAGGCCAAAGGTCCCCTAACTGAGAACACGGCCCTGATCCAGGTGCCTCTGTGAAGCCAACATCCGGTCAAAGCATCGCGTCATTTCACAGCGGACGGCCACGGCAAGAACAGGCTCCCCGCACGGCGCCGGTCCCTCGCGCTCCAGTGCCCCCCAGCTCAGACAGTACCTTGTCTGCCGCCGACAACCTTGTCCAGGGCTTGTCCGCCCGTCTGTCGTAGTCCTGGGCTTTGGCCACTTCCACGTAATCACTGAATCGTATCAGGATTTTCCTGTCTCTCAGCTCATCCACGGTGGGTCTCTGATTAAGCTACAACAAAAGGTCAGCACCGTGAGGCACCTGGGCCAAACTCGCTTTCCTAAAGCACTTGGAACTAACAGCACATGCTCACAGGAAACAGAAAACTGCAGCCGAGAGCTCTCACCTAACGCAAACCACTCCGAGGAGGAGGGTTTAGCATCGGTGGTCGCCAGCCGTTCGGACCTCCAGGACCAGCGGCCTGCGGACCCCATTGGTGAGCGCTGGTTTAGATTACGCATTTAACGGCCCAGCCCCCCCGGACGCATGTGTCCTCGGATGGGCTCCCGCACCCGTCACCTCCCAGCGTATCTGTGGCACAGGCTCGGGGGGTTGATGAACTTACGCATACATTTTAGGGCAGAAGTGGCTTCTTTTCAACTCTCATTAGATAAGCTTCTTTAGAAAGTTAAAGTGCTAACTACAATTAGTATTTGTAAGTCAAGCTCAAGTTAGGGAAGGGTAATCTCTCCACGCAGGACGACATTTTATTATTGTGATTATTATTATTGTCATTATTAGGGAGCTCAGTGGAGGCAGCAGAGGGGAAAGGCCAGCACGTGTGAATTTAGAGGATCAGGGTTCTGAAAGGCCTGGTGGCAGAAGGAACCAACGTGGGCCTCAGCAAGCTTTCATCTAACGCAGCCCCACACCCCAGCCCTCAGGCCGATGGAGTTTCTGCCGTCAGGGGCTGCCACACAAGCTCAGGTTTCCAGAATCTAAAGGAAACCAACCCCTGACATCAGGTGTGCTTTCCTGGGCTTCGTGTAAAGAGCCCGTCAGTGAGGGAGGCCCAGCCCATGCCTGGCTCCCCAGAGGCAAGGGGACAGGCCACCGGATGGTCCTGCCCGCAGGCCGGCCCTGGGTGAGGGCGGCACGCGAGCGGGCACCACGCACAGGCACTGTGCCTCCAGCGCCTGCTGAGTGTGCCCGCTGTGCCGGAAGCCGGTGCTCAGGACCATGCAGGGAGGCCATGCCAGCCCGGCTCCCTCGCGCCCACCCTTCACCGTCACACTCAGCAGACAGGTGCTCAAACCCAGTACCTTTCTCGTCAGCCTCTGCTTGATCTCTCTTCTCTCCTCCTGCTCGGTCTGGTCGTTCCTTTCTGTGCAAGGATGGAAAGGGGAAAGAAGGGAAGAACAGGTGAGACCCTCCTCTCCCTGCCGGCAGAGCACCTGTCTGTCTGTCTCAGGCCCAGATGGGCTCTCGTGGCCCCCTGGCCAGTGACACCTGTCCACGGCTCACTTCGTGTTCTCCACGGCGCCGTCACTGCTCAGGAGAGCGTGTCTCACCGACACACGGGACCGTGTGGGAGGGAAGCGACGCCATCATCCGCGCCCCCGGGTCACAGGTCCGCGGGGCACACGGGGGCAGCTCCCCTCTGCCCGCCCGCCCTGTGGGCAGCTTTACAGCCACGGGACAGGTGGCAGGCAGACAGCGTAGAGTAGGAATGTGTTATCGTAGAAATAGTATAAGTATAGTATAAGCTATCTGTAACACATTCGTACTCATGCATCAATGAGTGAATGCTAATAGCACTGTGATTGCTTGCTTTTTCTTCTCTTTTCCATTTTCTAGATAGACATACTTTTATTTTTAGCCAAGCAATATGAGCCGAGGAACACCCTCTTCAGAGTCTGGGCAACATATGCTTGCCTGGGATTTATGTTTTCAAGGGTATTTCCAATGCAAACACCCAGAACCGGCTGAGTGCTGGCGGGAGCGTAGCTCACGTGACACCGCAACGCCCCTCTTAAAGGGGCCGTCTCTCACACGATTGGCTCTGCTCCCCGCTGCGACTGAGCACCAGCAGCTCCGCTCCCTGGGAGCTAAAAATAGAGCGGACGCTGAGGGGTGTGAAAACCTGCCTCGCCCTGGGATCCGCGGTGACATGCCCTATTTCTGGCCCGCTGCTGCTAAAAAAAGCCCCGCTCCCGGGCTCTCTCAGCTCCGGGAGACGCCCCGTTCCGAAAGGGAACCCCGCGGCTTCCACGTAATGAAATGTCACATGACATGCCTTCCTTCAAAGCATTCAAACGTCATGCGTTTGGGGAACTGGGTGGGCAGAGGTCTCCTGTATTAGCCACTGGCCTGTATTTTTTTTTTTTTTAAAGGCAACATTAGGAGGCTGGCATGGCTCAGGGGTTGAGATTGACCTAAGAACCAGGAGGTCATGGCTTGATTCCTGGCCAGGGCACACGCCTGGTTTGCAGGCTTGATCCCCAGTGTGGGGCATGCAGGAGGCAGCCAATCAATGTTTCTCTCTCATCACTGATGTTTCTATCTCTATCCCTCTCCCTTCATCTCTGAAATCAATATATTTATGCTTCTTTTTATATTAAAAGAGAAAGCGTCATTTTGCATTTGGGTGTTTTATAAGGGAATCCAAGAAACCAGAAGAAACCAGCTCTAATCAGAAGGCTGGTGGACATTAGGGGGACAGTAGGAGGGTCGCACGGAAGGCCACCTCGGAGGGGTTTCAATGATGAAGCCACACTAATTGCCCAGGCGCAGACAATCAGCACAGTCTGTCGGAAACACCAAGCAAACTGGATCTTTCTTTCTCCAGTCGTGACCGTGGTCAGCATTGTCACCAAGGCCACTGAGCTCTGCAGGGGCATGGGACAGCGGGTCTGCGAGGGTGGCAGGGCCCAGACTGTGCTGCCACCACCTCCACGAAGCCCTTCCTTTTCCCGCCCCTGAAGGCCCCTGCGAGGGGATCCACCACGGGCAACCACGCATCGGTCCACGCGTGTCTGCATTCCTCCTGCCTGAGCTCTGCCTGGCTCCTCTCAGCCACGGCGCGGGGATCCTGAGCTCGCCCAAGGCCAGGGGCCCTGATCGGAGCCTCCATTCCCAGATTCCCCGGAAGCAGTGCCTGAAGGGGAGACTCCAGGGGATCAGCTGGCAGGGCAGTGGCATGCCTCGTGGGCAGCAGCGAGGGCGAGGGTGACAGACTGGGCAAGAACTCGGGCTCCGTCCCTTCCCAGCACTCGTGTTAAGGAGTCCTGTCGCTACCCCATGAGCTCTAGCTTCCTCCTGAACGTGGGGACGGTGTGCAAGCCTCACACTTGGCCTTGAAGATGGAACGAGGGAATGAAAGCAGCGTCAAGCCCGCTGCCTGCACAGAGCGGGCCAGGGGCAGGACCAGGGTGCCGCCTGCAGGACGGGGCCATGGGCCGCTCACTCTCCTACCCTGCAGATGCAGGCAGAGCTCGGGGTGTTCCTGCCCTCAGTCCGGGGGGAGCCTGCACAATGGGAGGTGCAGAACCATCCTGAGCAGAAATGGCAGACGGAACAGGAGCGGGGGAACCTGGGTCAGGCCTGTGAGTGTGAGGCTCCTGCCTGCTCTCATCCTCCCGGAACACAGTCCCCGCAGACAGCCGGGCGGCTCAGGGTGCGAGAGGCTCCGCTGCGGCACAGGCGCTGCTTCCATGGTGAGGAGGGACGGCCCTGCCCAGGCCACGTGCCAAGGCCACGCATGGCAGACCCATGCCTTCCTTCCCGCGCACTGAGGGTCGGCGCAGTCGGCCGCTGGCGGCTCTAGTCAGTGGGCGCCGACCCTCTTTGTGAGGCTGGTGGGGACTGCAGAGACCGCCCGTCAGGAGCCAGGAGCGCCGGCTGGTGGCCCCGGCAGGCCGCCCCACGGGGCAGTCACCACGGCCGGGGAGCGGTCCCTGCACAGAGGCTCTGAGTCTGGTCTTTCACTTGTGCCATTGACGTCTTAAACTGTTACTTCAGGACATCTGTGACTTACGAGCTTTATAGCTGAGTGACTTACTTTTTAAAAATTCAAATGCTTGGTAACCTGCCCTAGCTGCTTTTGCTCGGCGGAGAGAGCATCAGCCTGTGGACTGAGAGGTCCCGGGTTCGATTCCGGCCAAGAGCATGTACCTCCATTGCAGGTTCCTCCCTGGCTGGGACCTGGTCTGGGCACGTGCAAGAGGCAACCAATCGATGTGTTTCTCTCACGTCGGTATTTCTCTGTCTTTCCCTCTCTTTTCCATTCTCTCTCAAAATCAATGGAAAAATATCCTCACGTCAGGATTTTTAAAAAAATTTGGCAACCTAATATTTTAAATATATATATTTTTATTGATTTCAGAGAGAAAGGGAGAGAAAGAGAGGTAGAAGCAGCAAAAATGAGAGAGAATCATTGGTCAGCTGCCTCCAACATGGCCCACACTGGGGACTGAGCCTGTAACCGGGGCCTGTGCCCTGACTAGGAATCCAACCATGACCTCCTGGTTCATAGGTCGATGCTCAACCACTGAGCCACACCAGCTGGGCTGGTAATCTAACATCTGACTTCCTTCAGCTGGCCACATGACTGAGCATGTTACCAACAAAAAGCTTTCCTGTTTTTAAAAAAATTTTGAATATTTTTAAAATTTTTATTTTAGAGAGGAAGGGAGAGGGAGCGAGAAATAGAAACATTAGTGATGAGAGAGAATCCTTGATTGGCTGCCTCCTGCCCGCCCTCTCCTGGGGATCAAGCTCACAACCTGAGCATGTGCCCTTGACCAGAATCGAACCTAGCAAAACTGGCTAGGGCACGAAAAGCTTTTCTGTACGTCCTCCCACGCAGCCTAGCACTCACAGTAGAGAACGCAGTTGTCATGGCTTACGTTTGAGAAACAAAGGAAGAAGTCTTAATGTTGAGGTTACATGTTTCTAATTGTCTCTAAGGCGCGGACTGAGTGAGCGAGGGCCGGGCAGAGCCCAGGTGGGACTCGGGACGGAGCCGGCCCTGAGGCTGCTTTCTGAGGGAAGGCGACTTGTAACTTTGGGAAAAGATGCTCCGAGTCAAACACCAAACCCAGAGGATGTCTGCAGTGCTCATCACGTGGACGGGAGGAGAAATGGAAACACTTGGACTCCCCGCCCGAGATTCCACTCTGCAGAAAACACTTTGGAAGGGAAGCCTGTGGAGCAGATGAAGACTGGCTGAGAGCACTTTCCGAAGGGTTCCCACCCCTCACAGTGATGAAACTGAGAGGACCTGCTCCCTACGTGGTGGAGGGGACCTGTGCACACCGTGCGGACACGCGATGGCAGGCGCCTCCTGGACCGGCGGAGCCTGAGGCCGCGGGCTGCGCGGCTGCTCCCTCTGAGCCTGGGCTGGCGCCCGGTGTGGCGGGGGCGTGTCCCGTGGGTGGCACACGGTCTGCGCTGCCGGTGCGCTCTGCGGTCACCCCAGAGGAGCCCCACTCATCGGCCTGGACCTGCCTGAGACCGGGCTATGGCCCCCAGGCACCTTCCGCTGTGCCAGGCGGCGCTCTCCGGATTTTAAGGGGTGTTTCTGGGGACACGGACTCTCCCCGGGCGCGATCTTCCCTGAGGACACAGGGGAGCTGGGCTGCAGAGGGGGCCACCAGGGGACAGCGCCCGCAGGTCCGGCACGGCTCAGCACAGGTGCAGGGGACCCAGCTACTCACGTTTCAAGATGTTCCTCCTCTCCAGCTCCTCCACGGCGGGTCTCTGGCTCAGCCGTCTGCGGAAAAACACCAGAATCACATTGTGCACCATAGCAGCCCCGCCGAATCCACCGTCCACGGGGTCCTGGAGGTCGGAGGTGGCCGGTGCACCCCTCAAGATCGCTCCCCAAAAGCTGCAGGGGAGAAGGGACCTCTGGCGGTGGCCTCTTGCCCGCAGGTCCAGTCAGACCTCCCCACGGGAGGGAGGTCGCCGCCGTCAAGGGGCGCTGGGGGGAGCGGGGGAGGCACAGGGGCCCCCTCTCCAGGGGCGGCTCCCCATGTCCGGATCCGCGCCCAGCCTGGCGGCCCTGAGGTCCGGGAGGGACGGCGTGTGAGCCGCGGGCACGGAGAGCCGCGCCCGAGAGGCTGCCGGCGGGTGGGAGGGAGGGAGGGCGCCCGCTTCAGCCTCCGCAGGAGCTGCGCCCTCCCCCGGCCCCGCACCTGCGCTGCCCCGGTGGCTCCTGCTCCCGCCCGGAGCCAGCCTCGCGCCGGCGTGACTGCGCGCCCCGCCTCCCTCCGGGAGCCCGCAGCCCGCGGGGGGGCCGCCAGGCGGGGTCTCCGGTGCCCGCCCGCCCGCCCCGGACCGTCATTATTTCCTCCCCGCGGCTCCTCACCGCGGGCTGGCAGGATGCAGCCCCCGACACAAATAAACACAAGGCTTGTCAGGAGAAGGAGGCGTAATTAGCGGAAACCAGCGCCAGGCTCCACTGGTTCTGTGACTCCAATAAGGTTGTGCTTGGGCCGCAGCCAGAGCCCCGGTCCGGACCAGCCCCCGGGGCACAAAGCTCTGCCCCAAAGAGGATGCTGCCCCCAGAACACTCGTCTGCTATTTATAACCCTGTCCCTGCACAAAGCCCAGGGCGGCCCAGGCACCTCCTCCCTCCGCTCAAAGAGGACAGGGGCTGCCTGTGGCCTGGCTCGGTGGGTGGCTGCATGCACATCCTGACTTGATGGCTGAGGCGACAGGAACTGGCCCCTCAAGGCCTGATCTGTCAGGGCCACGAGCATGCAGCCTCGCTCCATGGGTGGGGTTCCCTCAGCCTGCTTGGATTCCCCAGATGCCACTCACGCAGGCGCTCTGAGCATGAGCGGGGCATGTGCCAGGGCCAGGCACTGCCCCAGGCCCCAGGGCACAGGGAGCCCACGAGCAGCCTGTTCGGCCCTTGGGAAGCTAGCTCAGTCTACAGAGGGAGACTGACACACGGAAAACAAGTGAACAAGAGGAACCCAGAGAGCAGTCATGGGGGAGGTGAAATGGGGGCCTCTGAGGAGATCCATTACTGCTGGGACCCACAAAGAGCGGCGGAGCCCTGGGAAGATCACCCCTCTAGACGCAGTCTCCTCACTGCGGATGAGCTGGGCTTGCCCTCAGGAGGACGGAGGGTGGGCATCAAGGCGGGCTTCACAGAAGAGGAGACCAAGTTGCAGAGAATCTGGAAGGACAGCCTGGTGCCTCCTGCCTGCCAGTTGACCAGCAGGGGGGCCACAGGGACACCCGGGGAGGGAGGCCACATACTTCCTCAAACCCGAGACGCCCCCAAACCTCTGTGGACATGGCCACCAAAGAGCCTTTTCCTTGCTGGAAGCTCGTCTCCTGCAATAAGAGGAGCAATAACACCTCTTCCCAGAGGCAAGAACTGAAGGAGGTAACACACCGAAGGGTCCGTAACAGGCCCTCGGGCCGGGAGCATTTTGTCCTGGGATACAGCGTCAAGAAAACGTGACCTGTAAGAGGCCGGGGTCAAGGACCAAGCTCCCAGAAAGGCCTGTCATCCAGTTCAGACATCTCAGAAAGGGTGGGCTGGCTGCTGGGCCCCTCCAGGCTGGGGCAGGGGGTCCCCCAGGCTGACAGCAGGCCCCAGGGCACCTGAGACTGAGCTAGAAGGGGCATCCTCTGGGCGGCTGCAGCGCAGGTGCAGTGGTGAGCAGAGGGAGCCAGAGCCCAGGGCTGGAGGAGAGGCCCGAGCCTCCAGGTGAGTTCCTTCTGGAGAAAGGACCTCGGTCACTGGGAAGGGGAGGGGCCAGCTACATTCACCGCTCCAGGGGACCACCCTGAACCTGGGACCGGCTTCACGGAGCTGCAAAGGGGTAAGGCAACCTTCCTCCATCGGGTGTCTCCTGAGCACTGGTGACAGGCCTGGCCGGGGAGGTGGCAGAGGAGCTGCCCAGGCCTGCCTTCGGGGAGCGCAGACTTGCAGGGGGGCGGGAGGGGGAAGAGACACATTGTCCTCTATTGTCACACAAGCAGCCATGCATCTCAGGGGGACCAGGCCAGGAGGAGGAACCCAACAGGCACGTGGGTAGGAGAGGCTGAGAGAAGAAGGAAGGCAGAGAGGCACCTGCCGGCTCCCAGCCGGGCCCACCTGAGTGCACCAAAGAGGTGGGCATGCAGGGGCTAGGGACTGGCCTGGCACTGGAACAGGAGGTACATGTATGGAGCTCCTGGAGAAGGACAGGGTAAGGGGTGGCATATGTGGGGGCAGTCATCTGGAGACATGGGGCCCCCAGTGGCTCACTAGGCCCCCTCGCCTCTCCTCTGCTCAGATCTGGAGTGAAGCCCACTCTGCACCTGAACCTCCATCCTGAGGATGGAGGAGAGGACCTGAGAGGTAAACAGGGACGAAGGAGACCTGAGAGGTGACCAGAGATGGAGGATGGAGGAGAGGAGGGAGGTGACTGGGGATGAAGGAAAGGACTGGAAGTGACTGGGGATGGAGGAGAGGAGGGAGGTGGTCAGGGATGAAGGAGAGGAAGGGAGGTGACTGAGGATGGAAGAGAGGATGGGAGGTGACTGGGATGGAAGAGAGGACGGGAGGTGACTGGGGATGGAGGAGAGGACGGGAGGTGACTGGGGATGGAGGAAAGGACGGGAGGTGACTGAGAATGGAGGACAGGACGGAGGTGACTGGGATGGAGGAGAGGACAGGAGGTGACCGGGGATGGAGGAAAGGACGGGAGGTAGTCAGGGATGAAGGAGAGGATGGGAGGTGATTGAGGATGGAGGAGAGGATGGGAGGTGACTGAGGATGGAGGAAAGGATGGGAGGTGACTGAGGATGGAGGAGAGGATGGGAGGTGGTCAGGGATGAAGGAGAGGACCCTGAAGGTGATTAATGGTGGAGGAGAAGACCTGGGAGGGGACTGAGGACGAACGAGAGGAGGGAGGTGACTGAGAATGGAAGAGAGGAGGGAGGTGACTGGGGATGGAGGAGACCCAGCAGGGGACCGGAGATGGGGGAAAAGACAGAAGGTGACAGAGGATGAAGGAGACTCGGGATAGAGGAGACCCCGGAGGTGACTGAGGATGGAGGAGAGGACCCGGAAGGTGACTAACGATAAAGGAGAGGACCCTGGAGGTGACCGGGATGGAGGAACCTGGGAGATGACCAAGGATGGAGGAGAGGACGGAGGTGACTGGGATGGAGAAGAGGAGGGAGTTGACCGAGGATGGAGGAGAGGACAGGAGGTGACTGGGGATGGAGGAGAGGAGGGAGGTGACCAGGGATGGAGAAGAGGAGGGAGGTGACTGGGGATGGAGGAGAGGACAGGAGGTGAACAGGGACAAAGGAGACCCCAGAGGTGAACAGGGACAAAGCAGAGGACCTGGGAGGTGAACAGGGATGGAGGAGAGGACGTGAGGTGACTGAGGATGGAGGAAAGGAGGGAAGTGACTGAGGATGGAGGAGAGGAGGGAGGTGACTGAGGATAGAGGAGAGGATGGGAGGTGACTGTGGATGGAGGAGAGGGGGGAGTTGACTGAGGATGGAGGAGAGGAGGGAGGTGACTGGGAATGGAGGAGAGGAGGGAGGTGACCGGAGATGGAGGAGAGGAGGGAGGTGACCGGGAATGAAGGAGAGGAGGGAGGTGACCGAGAATGGAGGAGAGGAGGGAGGTGACCAGAGATGGGGGAAAAGACAGAAGGTGACAGAGGATGAAGGAGACTCGGGATAGAGGAGACCCCGGAGGTGACTGAGGTTGGAGGAGAGGACCCGAAAGGTGACTAACGATGAAGGAGAGGACCCTGGAGGTGACCGGGATGGAGGAATCTGGGAGATGACCAAGGATGGAGGACAGGAGGGGGGTGACTGGGGATGAAGGATAGGAGGGAGGTGACTGAGGATGGAGGAGAGGACGGGAGGTGACTGAGGATGGAGGAGAGGAGGGAGGTGGTCAGGGATGAAGGAGAGGACCCTGAAGGTGATTAATGGTGGAGGAGAAGACCTGGGAGGTGACCAAGGAAGAAGGAGAGGACCCCTGACAGCTGGGTGGCCGGGACCCTGGAGTGGGTTTCCGGAGAATAAACAATTCGCTGTCCCATCCACATCCCTCAGGCTGTCCAATTCCCCTGGGACCAGCACTGAGGCCACCCAGGGGCACCGAGTCCGAATTTGAGTCCCAGCCTGCCATCTGTCCGGGAGAGGGGGGTGACCCAGGGTCACAGCTCCCCTGTGAGGCTCCCATGGGCACTGAGGGGTCCAGAAACCGAAAGCAGGGAGCGCGTAGTTCCAGTGACCACGCTGGGCCCAGCCTGGCCTCGCCCCACTGGGTGCCCGCGCCCCTCCCCATTCCTCCTGGGGGAGGCCACGGCAGCGGGGAGCCGGCCCAGCAGCAGCTCGCTCACAGCACACCGCCTTCCTGGAGAGCTGAGCCTCAGAGCCACAGACAGCCCCACTCCCACAGGACAGCTCCCACCAGCCTGTCACCAGGGTGAGCCTGCATCACACCCCATTCCGCTGTCGTTCCTCCTGCCAGACTGAGTGAGGGCCCAGGGAAGGGATCCCCTGGGGCAGAGTTCAGGGAAGGTGTCCCCTGGGGCACTGTCAGGGCCAGCAGGTAACCAGGGGCGAGTGGGCAGGCCTGGGAGATGGTGGAAGCGGGAAGGAGGGGAACAGAAGAGGGGAGGAGACCCATTCCCCATTTGGCCTCCTCAGGTCCACCAAGGCCACGGAATGCTGCCCCAACCTGACCCTGGGGCAGACACCTCACCTGCTCTGGGACACCATGGGGTCCCTTCTCTC